GCTAGGCGCCTGCGCGGAAAAAAAAAATTGTTTCACCCCCCCCCTTTTTCCTCCTCTCCCACGCATCTCCTACCAACGCTATCCTAACCTGCCTTGTTCGAATATATAAGAGCTGCTATACAAGTATCATCCAGCCTGCCCGTCGATCATTTCGGAATATTCCAATAATGGATTGACTCGATTCACCCATATACCGCTGTTAACCATCCGAGATTAGCATTCATATTTTCTTCCATTTAAATCTTCTCATTTTATAACGATTAACAATTGGTTACGATGGATTAAGAATGGATTTCAACGGGTTATACGGGTTAGGGTGGGTTAAGAATGGGTTACAACGGATTAGGATGGGTTACCAATAAGTTACCATAGATTAGAACAGGTTACCACGAGTTAGGATGAATTACCTGTCCGTTCAGGTACAGGACATTGGGACCCGGGGGGATCGACGGCGGGCCTCATTTGGAAGCGAAACTTCCTCTTCCGTTTTCTCCTACGCCGCATAGTTACCGAGTTACGGCCCTCCAAAGAACCGACCAATCAGAGCGCAGTATTTTCATTTCCGCTGTATCTCCGGAACCACGAGTCATAGAAAAAAATGGTAAAGGAAATTTCGTCACGGAATCCGGTCCCCTATCGATCGCGCCGATCGCGAACGCCCCCTACCTAAACCGAGCCTGACCGTTCGGGTACCGGAAGTCGGAACCCGGGGGGATCGACGACGGACGTCGTTTGGAAGCGAAACTTCCTTTTCCATTTTCTCCTACGCCGCGTAGTTTCCGAGTTACGCGCCTCCAAAGAACCGACCAATCAGAACGCAGCATTCTTATTTCCGCTGTATCTCCGGAACCACGGGTCGTAGATAAAAACGGCAAAGGAAGTTTCGTCGCGGAATCCGGTTCCCTACCCATCGCGCCGGTCGCGAACGCCCCCTACCTGAACCGAGCCTGTCCGTTCAGATACCGGAAGTTGGGACCTGAGGGTATCGACGGCGGACGTCATTTGGAATTGAAACTTCCTTTTCCGTTTTCTCCTACGCCGCGTAGTTTCCGAGTTACGCGCCTCCAAAGAACCGACCAATCAGAGCGCTGCATTCTTATTTACGCTTTATCTACGAAACTACGGGTCGTAGAAAAAAACGGTAAAGGAAGTTTCGCAGCGGAATCCAGTCCCTTATCCATCGCGCCTGTTGCAAAAGCCCCTACCTGAACCGACTTAGTCTATTGTAGTGTATTCAGGTATCAGTGGCTGCGACCCGGGGTGATCGGTACAGGAATTTATCATCGCTTCGGTCCAATGGGAAAGGTTGTTGCCTTCAAATCGATCTGTCGAGCGAGGTGGTGCGTTTTTTTCTCAGGAGAGATGCAGGGGTTTCAAGTGATTTTCAAGTAGGCCCACGATAGCCCGTTTTCGGGCTGCCCTGTCCCCGATCAATTTTGTTCTCTCTTGCCGTTACATCAGGCCGACGGGAAAGGTTCTGTATTTCAAATTGATCTTTGGAGTAACAAGCTACGATTTTTTCAGAGGAGATACAGGGGTTTCGAACGATTTTCGAGGGTGCTCATGTCATTTTCGGACAGTTTGCAAGTGGCCTCGAGTCGAGAATGTCTTGACATTCCGTCATTTATAGTATAAATATAATGACATGCAATATAATGAATATAATTGATAATTGCCTAAGTGGATCACGGATTAGGTATAAATACAAGTTGGAGGTAATAAATTTCCGTACGTTGCCATCGCCGACATCGTGGCATTCCATTTCGACTAGAGTAAAGAAAGTCTTTCTCGCGAGTAACTTGTTTAAAAGATGACGAATACGCGCACATATATTTCCCTTAAAAATATCCAGGATATAAATCGCTTTTGCTTCCGATATAAATGTACAAACAATGAATTAAGTAATGGTCCATAGGATCAATCTGGAAGTAGAAAATATCAATTGGTGTGCGTATCGATTGCATTCCATTATTCACGGATATATAAAAGTAAAAAATGTTAGAGACTGTCTAGTTCGTCAATGATTAGTTATCAAAATATCTGCCGAAGATTCCAACATATGTCCAAAAAATCACTTTGCATTGAAGTCAGATTTACTTCGAATATTCGGTATTTGTCTTTCAGACGATGCTCGACCTTAGCGACCAAAGCTAAAAAAAAATGGAAATTTTGTTCTCATTGACTCCTAACGGTCACACCGATTAGTATTTATACGTTTTCCGAATGACTTCTCTGGATATAGCTGCAACTCTTGTTGCATGTTCTTCATAGACCTCTGTACGTACGCAAAGCAATTACTGTACTACACAGATAAAGGCAACAATTGATGAGTCCGCATATCTGCAAACAAATTGAAAAAATGTAACTCAAATTAAAAACCCATACAAGTGAAGAAATTTGACTTTACGTACGGCCGCTGCCAGCATTCTGTCATGATCTCTGGAGTACCGATCATTAACTTGCACCAAAAGGGTCAAGGAGCAAGCGAGCAACAGGCCAAACGCAATCGAGTGATAAATTACTTCCTGCAAGGAAAAATCAACTTCAATGATGGTTTGTACAATGAACCATTTCTGTAAGGGAGTTTGTTTTACCGACATAAATAGTCTTGGAAATGATCGATTCCGTTGAAATCGAGGCCAGGCACGAAAGTATTAATATGAACGTCGATATCATGAATGTTGTAGTCATTAGAAGGAAGAACAAGTCAGCCGTGGTCCGATAATTACCCGCGCTGAACTGATAGCCCACTAGTCCCACGCAAATCGTCCCAAGAATCTAAAAGAAAAATACAATACCGAACCATGTTTTGATTGCCTGGAATCAAATCCGAAGCGTTAACGATCGACTCGTTTTAGAAATTGTACGAACAAGCTGTAGAAGCTTAACGATCCCGCTCAAGGACTTGAAATAACCAGTGTTGATGATGATCGCTGACGTACTCGTAGTGACGGTCGCCGTCCTGATCGTCACCGAATGAGACATAGTGTTCTTCTTCCTGTCAAATGCGGACATTTTCGATTAACTCGAACGTGCAATATCAATCGGATGCGGAATTTGTGAGAGATTCCCGAGACCGATCGGAACCATCTTGCAAGCGTGCTCCGTTAATCGGCACCGATTAAGAGCACCTATAATAACTTTTTATCGCACATTCGCGTGGTTCCATTCGGAGAAATCGAGGCATTTTTTAGGTCACCGAAACGAGTACCAGGGTCATCCTTCGCTCGACGCGTGAGACAATGCGTGACCCACTTCGTCTTAGCGACCCAAGTACCGCTCGGACGATGGGGAGGAAATCTTCGTTTAGTTTCAGTGATTTTTTTTCCGTCGACTCGTCGGACGAAAATTCAAGCGGAGGGCAGAAAGGAAACCAAGACTCGATGTTGCGCACGAGCTGCGATGCATGTCGTCACCGGTATATTTTAAGTACACCCACTCCACGCGCGAAGGTTGCTCGATCGCCGCAATACCGCCTTCAAAAATCAATTCCGAAATCAATTCCGAAATCATTTTTGAAATCAATTTCGAAATCCCGAGGTCTATGTCTAGTTTCCGCCGCGCGACCGCTTTCCCAAAGAAACCTCCACTTCCAATTCTTTCCGATGCTTTTAATCGGACCGCTCCTGCAATTCCGAAAACGCCGCTCGAGTCGTTCTTATCCTCGATTTGCGCGACGCCGAACGGAAAAGTATGACACTTCATGCAGCGGGACCAGGTAACGTTTCAGCTTGGTCAACGCAGAGTAGCGTACATGAGATACGACGATTCGCAAGGAGGCTACGTAGCCTGGGCAAGTCAGGAGCGGGATCCGGTCGCGCCTCGCCCAGTCTTGACGGGAGTTCGCGATCGACTGAATAGACGCCCTCGACGCGTACGCCGATGACGACACCCCCCCCCCCCCCCCCCACGCTCCTTTCGCGTTTCCCCGTCCATCGTCGCTGATTGTCGAGAACTGAGCGACGTCCGGAAATTCGTCATACCCCCGAATTAGAAGGCATTGACCGAATTTCGGGAATCGGTTAGAGCAGCGCAGACCGTCGGGCGTTTGGAATTCGCGGTTTATCGTACATTCGAAACCTCTCGAGAGAAGTCGGTCGGAATCGGTCGGAATCGATCGAACGTTCGACGGGTCGGCACGTTCGGTTTCTATCGATCCCCTCGATGGTTCGAATGGCGCGAGGGTGCGACCGGTCTCGGAGGTGGCGCTCCAAGTCGATCCCCGACTCGCGTGCGTGCGTGCATGCGGGCGCACCTCGAGCCGAGTGCGCGACGGTGCGTCTGCGCACCCACTCCGAAATCCGCTCTCCTCGGTGTGATGGCGACTGACAACTTTGAAACGTGAGTTTACCACGGCGTCGATTTCCCGAGTGAAAACACCAGCCTGGGGAGGGAAAAGGCCCTCGCACCTTTCAAGAGCAGTTCGACCCGCCAGGCGTCCAGGTGAGACCGCTCGAAGCCACGCCGCCCGCTTCGTCGGCCGCTCCTTTCAACTGTTCCACGCCGGGAGTATCTTCGCTCCTGTGGTAGTTTCTCCTGCCCCTCCGTGTACACAGATTTTCTATACGCGTATTCGCGTTGGGGCGTACGTGAGTACGTGCGTGCCTGCATCGTGTGCGCGCATTCTACCGTCTACGATCTGGCAAACGGTCACGACAATTTTCAAAGACGAAGACTACCTTCCGTTAGGATGCGTCCAGGACGAGGGGCGTTCTTAACACTAAACCTACCACCGGCGGGTCAAATTGACCGGTTTAAATGGTATTTGTAATGGGGGTATAAATCGTCGGTGGGTTTAGTGTCAAAGCCTCCGATTTCCTTGCTCGGATTACTGACCTGCGCGGCAAACCGTTCCATCGGTTGTTTTTATTTTCTGAACCGTGCAACTTTAAAATTGCTCGATGTCGAGTGCAACGATCCCTAGTGTCTCGAAAACTTCCTTTCGGACCGAAAATTGGACCGAATTGATAACGTTTGTTTTCCGCGAAACGACGTTATGGATCTTCTTTCCGTCCTCATCAAGGACGGAAGTTGTGGTTTCCGTTGACGAAAGTTGAGCAGAAGAAGCTAATCGAATGCCCGAAGTGGTTTGGAGGTTATGACGACTCGATTTCGTTCCATCGGTTCGACGTCCGCGACGACAGCGGAGACGAAACGTCGACATGCGCCGGAGCCGCGGAGCGCGCCCTGCACTCCGTTGAACTGGTGGGGGTTGATTCTGTATCGTGAATCTAGTGAGAATACTAACAGTGAACACCTCCCGCGATTCTGTAACTTTCGCTATAGTGAAAATGTAAGATGCTTCACGTAAGAATACTCGACGAGAGACTTCGCGTTGAATGACGAGATATGAGAGAGGAGAGAGAGAGAGAGAGAGAGAGAGAGAGAGGGAGGAACAATAGATGAAGGAAGAACGGAGGAGATATTCGACGAGAGCGTTTCCGTGCATACGTTCGGAAGATTCGAATTCATTAAAGGTTAACATAGTCTACGTAGCCGTATTAGCATTTTATGACAAACTGGAAAAAGAAGAATCGCAAAACATACGCTTACGCTTAAAACCTTTCTATCGTACTTTCACTCCTTGGATTTCGCGTTTTCATTTGGAGGATACAGAATTGGGTGAATGAATTCACGGTGATAGGGCGAAAAGTGAACACTCTCGTCAAACATACAGAATCGACTCCCCTGATCTCGATTCTTGAGTTAACAGGCTCAACTTTCGCATACGAAATTGACAGTTTCGTATACGATTTTCAAATATTGAGCAATGACGCGACTTCGCAACAATGCGAAAAAAAATCTGTAAGAACTCGAGAATAGAAACCCTGATCGGAACGACGGAAACCGATCGAGCGAAATCGCTAAGAGTTCCGACGCGACTTCCACGCTCCCGACCCTCGAGGTATCAAAGCGCGCTGAAATCCGGACGGCGGGTCTACCTTTGAAATCCCGCAAGGATACCGGATTTAACGAGCACTCGAATATCGCGCCGCGGAATACATTCGGTACATCGTTATCGTTCGATCTCTCCGCCAAGATTGTCGAAGAAACGACAGGGCTCGCTCCGCGACCGGTCCGTACGTTTACACCGTTTCCGCGAGAGTTGGCTGGAGGGCGCAAGAAACGAGCGCTCCCGTGATTGGCTCGCGGCTCCCGAAGTCGACCAATCGGAGACGTCCGTGCCCGGGTTTGCGAGACCACGGCAACGCCGAGCCGGTGGCGTGCGGGCGAGTCTCGAATCCTCGTGAAAAATACACCAGGAGTTTCCGCGTTCTTTCGTAGCAGATCGGCCCGAGTTTCCGAGTGTGCCGCGCATCGTGGAGAAGCCGAAATAGAGCCAAGACGGTGCATGGGACGCCGGGCGGTGGAGCGTCTTTCCGTCGTATTACCAAAAAGCTTGAGCGCGCGCTCCAAGTACGCGCGCTTGTTGACGCGATTGCTCTCGAACGCGTTTGTAACGAGTGCTCGCGAGCATCGAACCCGTCGTATCAGGGCCAACGAAGCGGTCGTGGAATGTCGTTAACGGGTTCTGACGCCTTGGACGGTCCCCGACGAGCTCCGAAATCAACGGCGACGTAACGAGGTCCGGTGTCAAGGTTTGGCGCGCGATTCAAACTGGTCTCGAGACAATCGCCTTCTCTCTAGACACTGCCACGGCCTGACTCGCTACGGTGAACCTGAAAGGCCCTCTTTAATTTCCATTTAAGCTGCACTGCTTCTCGACAATTATGTAACTACTGACAATTGGGTTTGGCAACCGCAGACTGGTAACCAAGCGTTAGGTTAGTGACGTGCAGGGCATCGTATTGGATGTACTGGTTTCTCGATTTCTCCCCCTTTATAAACGTTGGTGTAGAAGTTTCGTCTTTGAATTCTTCCCGTAAATAAAATCGTTACGTTTAATTTAAGGGTCGATATGATATATAATATCTCAGGATTTGTAGGGTTTAGAAATTCCTTCCGTGTCGACAGGATGGAGGAGGAGATTGTTGTAGACGACGCTGATGATAACAGCGGCACCGAGGCACAGCAGTCCGATGATCCAGCTACGCACGTTATGCCGTTGCTTTATATCCAACAGGGTAAATTACGTTCGACTCAACCCACTTCGGCCAATCAGGCTATTGTCTCGACTTCTGCCGGCCAACTTGCAGCGATAATTAATCCGGTTAGCAATCAGGTAGGACAATAAGCATTTGCTTTGATTTTCTGGATATGAATAATCTGATAAAGAATAAGTCATCGGTCGAGCAGCCAATAAACTGTGTGTTCTTACATAAATTGGCCAGAGAAATATTGTTACTTTATTAGTGCCTGATCGTCTTGCGTTGAAGTCAAAGCTTCAGAAATCAATTTACTCGCAGAATCCACAATCGAGCCTTGCGTATATATCGAACCCTGGTCGTAGATTACGAGTACACTGGTGCGTTGTGTCATAATAAATATAAGTTTGGTTAGCAAGTCGCATTAGACAGCATCCGAAAACTCGCAGAGAATCGTACCACCTTTGAGGTTAAAGTTACAGTACGTTCTTTCTTACTGTAATTCCTATTTTGTCACGAAACTTAAATCGATCACAGATAAGGAAATAAAAGTGTTATGTTTTAGTCAGATGTTTTGACATTTACGTTCGTTACAGATTACTGGGCAGAACAAGGTCTTCATACAGGGACCTAGTCAGGGCACCAATTCCCAAAGCAAGCACATAGTCATTCATCGGCAGATCAATACCGTTGGGTCTACTACGAATAACCAGGGCCAGAAACACATACTTCTCAGAAAATCAAACGCTTCTACCGCGCAGATTGTGCCATTGAACACATCTCAGGTGACTCAAACCCACAGTCAGGCAGGGAAGCACACCTTTGCTTATCTGGGGACCCTTATCAAACCGAACAAATCTAGAGAGTCCGTCGTCATTCCAGCAGGTGATAAGCACCGGTCATTTGACATTCAGTTTTGAAATTGGCTTTCCTTTGGGATTCTCTGTTTAAATTGCGATTTTCTTTTTTTACTCCTCCAAAAGCAGGGGCCCTGACGACTACACAGATTAACAAACCAAAGTTGGTGATAGCTCCAGTTATTTCACCATTGGCTCAGACCTCCACGAGCACTACTTCCAGTTCGCAAAGTCAGCCCGCGAAGCATATGACTAACTTACTCCTGCCTGTTAACATTCCTCAGCACAGTGGATCTAATAAGCAGAGCATGTTTAACCTGAAAATTAATAACGGCCAAATTAGCGCAGACAGCAAAGGGACTATTACAGGTTAGAATTGGACTGGAAATTAAGACTTGTTCCAATGATCACCTTCAGTGTTCCATTTAGAGAATTACAATCAAATCTAATTTTTCAACTCTGTCCATCCCAGTACTACGTGAATCTAAGACGTCCAACTCTTCGGCTCATCCTCCTCCGCTACACCCGATAACCAAGATGAGCCTGCTGAGTGCCAACAAAGGTGGCAGCAATTCTAGCGACAGCATCAAGATCACCGAGAACCCTGATTCGGCAGTGATAACTCCCATACCGAAGAAGGACGATGGTAATCCCCCGGAGAAGAGAAAGAAAACTATCAGCAATATACTTCGTGGATCCAGTGACAAACGAACAAAGAAGCAAAATATCCCCAAGTCCCCTCCTGAAGGCATCGTCGACGTCAGATATACGCTAAGTAGTCCAGAGTCTGAGCAGGACAAAGATAAGAAACTTCAGACCGATGATGACATAACCTTAATCAAGGTTGTACCAAGTGAGGACAAGACTGCAAAGCTGAAAGCTTCGATGGATGATGACATTAAGATAGAGATAATTAAAACGGCTATGAATAGTGATATCGAAACTATATCTGACAGCAACGGAGACGTTAAAGTGAATTCTCGAGAGGACTTAAAAGACCACACGAACTCTTCTCACCAAAACGATCCCAGCTTCGATGCCACCAAAGCACTAGATTGGAAAGATGGCGTGGGCACTCTGCCAGGCAGCACTTTAAAGGTGATCTTTCACGAGATTATGTTTCTACTTACATTTCTACATATTGTTCTAGGCTTAATTACCGATTACTTTTGTCGTATAGTTTCGAGTGAACGAATTTGGACTGATGGAGGTCGTCGATGAAGACGAAAACAATAAACAGGACAAGGACAGTAACATTGGCGACAAGGAAAACGTATGTCTGACACAAAAGTCTCCAAAGTCCTGCTCTACGACAACCAGTAGTGATAAAAAGAGTATGTTGAAAGGATCTACGTGTGCATTACTTCTCGGTGTATGTTATTAATGTTCTGCTGTTATTATTTAGTGGAGGACAGGAAGTCTCGAGCAGCTTCCGAAGACACCATCTATCGATGCGAACACTGCGGATGTCACGGATTAGCCGCAGAATTCGACAGCCCTATATCATGCAGTCGTCAGTGTACAGAGATCATTGAAACCAAAAAGTTAAATCTAATTCGCAAGGAGAAGGAGCTAAAGTGAGTGGAGCTCGGGAAGAAAAGACGTAGCGTAGGAAATATTCCTTAAGAAGTTTAACAATACGTATTCGATTCAGGGATCTGAGAGCCAAACGGAAACGCAAGCGGTTATTGCAAGAACAGCAGGTTAAGGAGACGGAGGGCAAGGTGGACGAGAAGATCCAGGAAAAACCAAAATCCGAAACGGACGAGGACACTAAGGACACATGCATTACCACCGTTGAAGAGGAGAGCCAGGAGGAGTGCTCGGAGGCCAAGGTAACGCTCGATCCTTCAGGTATTAAAACTGTAACATTGGCAATCGGGTCGAGGACTCGCGTAACTTAACTCGTATGAAACAGTATCCATGGCAGACGGGTAAACTAGGATTCTCTTGGGCGAAGTATTTGGAGCACTGCAAGGCGAAGGCAGCCCCGGTGAAGCTCTTTAAGGACCCGTTCCCCTACAGTAAGAACCATTTCAAGGTCGGCATGAAACTCGAGGGAATCGATCCGGAACACCCCTCGAGGTACTGCGTCCTCACAGTGGTCGAAGTTGCTGGTCAGTTTAACTGCATTGTACATAATTTCTTTTCCGTCGGCTTCTCTTCTAAGAAGTCGAAGGATGGAATAACGACATCTTACCGATTTCAGGTTATCGAATACGACTCCATTTTGATGGGTACCCGGAAAACTACGACTTCTGGGTGAACGCCGACAGCATGGACATTTTTCCGATCGGCTGGTCCGAGAAGAATGCGCATCGCTTGGACCCGCCCAAGGGCTACGTCGCCAACAACTTCAACTGGAACGCTTATTTGAAGATCTGTAAGGCCACTGCCGCTTCGAAGAACATCTTCTCGAACAAGAACGTAAGACGAAGGAGGACTGAGGAAAAAAAAACTGTTAAAGCGCTCGATGATGTTTTTAACGATAGTCTCCGTTTTCAGTCCATCTTCCCGACCGGTTTCCGTGTTGGGATGAAGTTAGAAGCCGTGGACAGGAAACACTCGTCTCTGGTTTGCGTGGCCAGCATCGCCGGTTTAATGGACTCGCGAATATTGGTCCACTTCGACTCCTGGGACGAGGTTTACGATTACTGGGCCGATGCAAGCTCACCTTACATACACCCAGTTGGTTGGTGCCAGCACAACGGGCACAAACTCACTCCGCCTAACAGTAAGTCAAGATCTAACAATCTCCGCGGAACACTTTTGTAAGATCTAAGATCTTCCCATTGAATCGCACTTTTCAGACTTCAAGGACCCGAAAACCTTTACCTGGGATGCCTATTTGCGAGACACGAGCTCGGTAGCGGCTCCAGCCAGGGCTTTCAAACAACGACCACCCTGCGGGTTCAAACGAGGCATGAAATTGGAGGCAGTAGACAAACGAGTACCGCAATTGATTCGCGTGGCAACCGTCGAAGATGTCAAGGACCACATGTTGAAGATACGTTTTGACGGTTGGCCCGAAAATCACGCGTATTGGGTCGACGATGACTCACCGGATATCCATCCCATGGGGTGGTGTACGAAGACTGGCCACCCCTTGGAACGTCCTCTGAGTAAGTTGGCCAATGGCCCAACTAGCGGATAATTGTTCGCCGCGTTGTACGCTCGAAGTAACGGGACTTATTCTGTTCCAGCTCCGGACAATCTGAACGACCGACCAGAGTGCGGGACTTACGGGTGCCGAGGAATCGGTCACGTAAAAGGACCGAAATTCGCGACCCACAACTCGGCTTCTGGGTGTCCCTACTCCCCCCAGAACTTACCGAAGGTCAGACCGATGACGGACAGACTGAATTTGAAGCACGAGGCCTGCGAATTCGAGGAAGACCTCCTCGAGAGACCAAGGGCCGAGAGAGCGAAGATCGAGAAACTCGACAGGTATCAGGAGGAAAAGGAGAAGGCTCCGAAGACCGAGAGGGATATCGTCAAGCACGAAGATGTCGACCTCGGAGACCGGACCGAAATAGCCGACAGAATAAGTAGGTGGAGGCATCTGCAGAACGACGGCCTAACAGACGATGACGAAATCTCGAGGAGGCGGAAGAAGAGGTACTTTTCGCAAAGTGCAACAATTTAGAGACTCGTAAATATTGCATTTTATTTCTTTTATTTCAGACGATTGGTGTCCGACGACCCGTCGCTGTCACTTCCCAACTTCGGAGATGCTTCCTTGACCGCGATTCCCTATGCGGCTGGGATGCCCGATAAGCAACTCAGAACAGAACTTTACCATTCCGTGTATAATCCGGGATACGATCCGCTACCGGATGCTCCACATATCTGGGCGAAACACAGCAATGCCTTGAACAGGGTCGTGGCTAAGCAGAACACTAATCCACGACGGTGGTCCAACGAGGAGGTGATCCGGTTCATTCAGAGTGTTCCCAACTGCAAGGAGATTGGCAGTGTCTTCAGAAAGCATGTAAGTCTCTTCCGTCGATTATCGTAAAAGTACTTGAAATCTTGGCTACTGTTCGCGGCAATTTGCAGAACATCGACGGGGAGGCATTTTTGATGTTGACCCAAGAAGACCTGATCTCGCTGCTGGGCCTACGCTTGGGTCCCGCCATCAAGCTCTACAACAGCATCGTCCTTCTGCGCAGAAGAGCTACGTGAATCCAAGACGATGAACGTACTGGATAATGGTAGCAGGGCTTTGGCCCCAAAATCGGCGTTTGCTGAAGCCCAAGACGAGAAAAGCGAGCGCCGCAAGCTCGGCGCGAATCGTTTCTAAGCGTTCGGGCTCCGTCACTCCTACTCGACAGATTATGTGTTGTAATTCCTTTCTCCACTGTCCTCGCCATGCAAGAAGCTGGGTTGAGAACTCAATCGTGTACAAAAGTGTATATATGTGTCATGTACAGATCGAGCTAGACACACCACACACACATACACATATAAAGCCGTATGGCGAAGAAGCCTCCATGTTTTGCGCGACTGTAATAAGAAAAAACCTTGAATAGCGGATCGTCGAGCGATCATTTCTCCCTCTTGCCCTCCTGAAGACGGTGATTGACAGGATGAAGTCAAGTGGCAATAACTAACAGAGATGAGTTGAGAGATTGCTCACGGGCAGGATCGTGCGATCGCATCCTGTGCTGCCCTCTGGTATCGTACGTTAGCTTTCACCGTTTTTTTGTCCCCAAGGGCGGCGCAACGATTTTCTGATAGGAGCTCGAGCACTAGCGATGGCGGTACCATCTACCAGTCACCGTTGGTGGCTCACGTACTCGTGATGGTAATACCATGCGGCAGTTGACGGTGGTGGCTTACCTACGCTTATCAATACTGCTCGCTTTTGATGGTAAGGGAAGAACACTCGTGACGCTCCATTTGACTTTATCTACTTATCTACTACTATTAAGTACATTGCTGCCTGGAAGTCAACGTGATGCGGAGCTTTGGGGCACGCGTCGATGTCGCGTACGGAACTCTCATGCAGCGAATCTGCGTGAGTACGATCGCTCCTAGAGATCTTCGCGCGTCCCAACCAGCCAAGCGCCAAGCTACNTATATGTGCGTTCGGCGCTACACTCGACGAGTATGCGTGAGAGTCGAATACTGCGAAAAATCCTCCCGAGGGTTATCTAACTGCGGATATATAACCACCGTCAACTGCCGCATCGTATTACCATCACGAGTACGTGAGCCGCCAATGGCGACTGGTAGATGGTACCGCAATCGCGAGTGCGCGAGCTTCAAAAGCGGTGAAAGCTAACGTACGAAACCAGAGGGCAGCACAGGATGTGATCGCACGATCCTGCCCGTGAGCCATCTCCCAATTCATCTCTGGTATTCTTTGCCATCGAGTACCTCAATCTTCCGCGGGGATAACGACGCTCGTGTCGGAAGAAGTTCCATAGCCGTGCTCCCCGCGTCGTGGCTACTCTCATCTCTTTGCTCTGGCCCATCGCAAGGAAGCTGAAACATATTACTTTTTTCCACAGAAGTATTCTGTATCCTGAAGCCGCGGGGGGCGAAGGTAGACTGTCCGATGAACTTCTTTTCGCGAGAATTTAATAAGACAAACGCATTCGAGCAACGTTTCTTCTCTTTCCTCTAAATCTGTTTAGGGAAGAAGGGATCAACGAGGGCAGGGCCGATGGTAATTACGGCCGGTAATTGGTAACCGCTGGAGAATCGGATGCGCCGACGTAGCCGATTTCGCGAGCCGCGGGCGGATTTGCATAAGGAGACTTTTGGCTTTTATTCCGCGAGAGAGAAACGACGGGGCCGGGGGCGATGGCTTTGCACGAGTGGTATGTGTCGAGCTTGCAGAACTTTCGGCATACTCCCCGCGGGGGTGTGCGTATGCATGTACGTATAGTCGAGGGTGTACACATGGTCCCTCGGTAAATTCCCCTCGTATCACCTATCATTACGAATTCCTTCTACGTCGCACGAGCACGGATACGCATCCCGAAGGATGGGTGAGAGAAAGGAGCCGTGCTAATTCGCGGATGGCGGTCGACTCGGAGCTGATTACCAGGGCAATCAGCGGCATCGGCACGCCAAGTCCGAGAATTCGATCGCGGACCTAGGAATATCCCTGCAGTCGGCGCGAAATGCGCCGGAGGGATTCGCGATCGCCCTTGTATCGTTTCCCTTTTTTTCCCGGCCGCGGCCGAGAGAGGCGGCTTTCTTGCGAGGGCAGTCGCGGTCTCTGATTTATCTCCACGCCCGGGGTCGGTCTCGAGGGACAAAACAGGAGGCGCGAGCGGGTAATAATAGTTTCTTGCAGTTCCGAGCCTTAGGACGCGCGCGGGACCGAGTCCGGTAATCTCTTGTCTCCGTAAATATCAATGACGATAATTACCCTCACGGTGTCCGGTCGCCGTTCTCGCAGGGCAACCGAGGGGCGCGAGAGGAGGAATTCGCTCTTCCAACGAAGGAGGCGAGGGAGAAAAGAATGCGCAGTGCATTCGGAAGCTGTAGCCCGCGGGGGGAGAGTTCCGGCTAATAATCCGGAACGTCACGGGAGCGTCGTAAAAGGAGCCGTAAAAAAAGTACCGCTCGCGTGCCGAGGAGACGTCGATTCGTCGATAACGTTCCCGACGAGGAACGGGCCGCACCCGGGTGCAGCTGCGTCCTCGACGAGAGGCAGTCGACGCCCCTGCCTTTTCGTCGACTCTTATTAATCGGTCGAGTTTTCGCTGATTTAGGGGATCGATGGGGTTCGAAATCAAGCGGTTTACTGGAAACTTACAACGTGAAGATTACAGATCGCTTTATTAACTTTCATAACAAATACACATTCTTATGAATGCCCGCACACGTCATAAATGCTACGCTCTCTCAAAGACTTTCTCAAGAAACCGCAAATAATTCTCGTTCTCCTCTGCTTCCACCATGTTGGTGGGATAGAAGTTTATTATTATTCTCTTTTTCAATGGTAATGAACAATTAGCATTGTTCATTTTTATTTCTTCCGTTATCTTGACGTCATTTTGGACATCTTCAGTTGTGCGTTTTTTATTGTACGACCTACGTTTTTTCTTTCGGTGTTTCGATTTCCTTTGACCGTTTTGATTATTTTTTTCTTTCTTCTCCTCGGCATTGAACTCGTCTCTTTCCGTGATTTTATAAACATTTCTGGAAATCATCCTTTTAATCCGGGCTCCCGGATGCACTCGCTCCATGTGGACGTAATACGTGTCTTTAGCGGGAAATTTCAGACCTAAAAGGATCGAAAGTATACCATGAACGGACGAAACCTAAATCGGTTCAACCTCTTTCCTTTCGGGGCGTAAAAGTCCCCCTTCTCGGCGGAAACGACTTACCGCAAGTTTTGCAAATCGGGGCCCTTTTGGCCGCGCCGTGAATCCGCCCGGCGTGCCTTTCCACATTGAATCGCCTAGACGACGCGTATTCGCACAGTTTACATTTGAACTGGCGACCGCCCATGATGCGAGGTATACAAATTCAACTCGAAATTTCGGGAACGAAGGACCGATCCTTTGAAGATCGTTCGCTCGACTGAGGAGCTCGCGCGTTAGAAAAGGTCGAGTGAAAGATAGTCGGACGTATCGAAAATGCCACAGCGCCGTTTCTTCCCCTAATCCTTTTATGGCGCAAAAATCGCCGACAGAGCCAAGACGCATTGTCCTTCCGGTCGCGCGCGCATTATTTCCAAAACCGTCGCAGCGACGGAGATCCTGGTCGGCAATTTGCGTTTCTACTAAGCCGCGCTAAGCCGCCGCCGAGATAAGGAGTACGATGAAAAGAAGCGGCGCGGCGCGGCGCGGCGCGGCGGACGTCCTTTTTTTCTCCTTCGGAAACGAAAGCCTGCCGGACTGGCGCCGGATCCGCGCCGGACCCGCGCCGGACTCGCGCCGGCCGGGGAGAACTCGGGTCGGATTTTTCATCCGGCCGGCCCCGGTGCCTCGGAGCGGCGTAATTACGAGCGGGGTGTGGGGGCATTTATCAAGTGGCCAACGCGAAACGCTTGATTTCCCAGGCGAGTTCGCGGCATCCGCCGGAATGGAGCGCGCGCCTCCCTCTCCTTTCGATTCATCTCTCGCTCCCCTCTCGACTCGGGACGGATTTTCGAGCTCTCGGGCGTATCGCGAACGTTTCTTCGATTCGTCGAATCGATCGGGAGAAGAACGGGGCGGCTTCACCTCGCGTCGATCTCTCGCCGGTCGTTTTTCCCGATCGACGGGAAACTCCTCCTCTCGAGTCGGCAGACGAGAGTCAGGAGAGATCCGGGACGATCCCTGGACATCGGAGGGCGGAGGCTGGTGTTAAAAAGTTGTCGCCCCTCTTGCCCTCGTCTGCCCGGAAGAGGAGCAATGGCTCGGAGCGGCCAAGAATTATTATGCGAAAAGTTCGGGCTCTCCCCGTTTCTTTTCGGATTGCCGATTAAAACTTCCCTCGTCGAATTTACAAATTCCTCCGCGAGGGGTATCCCGCCGACTTGGAATTAGAACTTAAATCAACCGTGCCACCGAGTCCAATGGCTCAATTTCTTTTATCGCGATCGCGGCCCGGAGACTCCGGTCTCGGTTCGATGGGCTCCTTCCGCTCCCCTGCCGAATTCGATCGACCGCTCGACGCTCCTCGCGAAAGATCGATACGAAGGATGCGCCCGAGTCGGGAAGGAAAACGGAGGGACGGAGTTCCCCTCTCCCCAAGGTGGCGCGAGATCGAGAAACGGCGCGCGACCGTATCGATTCGGAGATAAACCGCGGCGACGTTTTCGGCCACGGAATAATCGATGTTCGAAAGAAGATAAGCGGCCGCTCTCGCCGGCGGCCCAGCGGAAAGGGGCTCGGTGCGCGCGCCGGCGGGCTCCGATTCGCGCGGCCCAGGGGAAAGGCCCCCCACTCGGCGCCGCCCGGCCGCGTGTCCCTCGGCCGGAACGGGGGAACGGCGGACGCGGCCAGCGCCTTCGCTCGTCAGCTCGTCAGTACCTCGCCGGTCGCTGGCTCGCACGCTCGAGTCGGTCTGGACCGTTTCCCCGGTCCGCGGTTCTCCGTTCCGTCGCCCCGTCGCCCCGTCGCCTCGTCGAATTCCGCGTCGCGTCGCGTCGCGTCGCGTCGTGGTGCTGGTGGACGCCGAGTCGCGATCATCCGAGCGGGTCGAGGCGTCGGGACATTCGGCCCGAGCCGGTCGACCCAGCGCGAGTAGGAGATCGATTCCTCGAGAGGAAGGCTTGTCCGAGAGGAGAAGCGCCCCCGGAGGACGGACCCACGACCCGGCGCCCGCTCGCCGCTCTCGTCGGATCACCGGGTGGAGCGACCGACCGACGAAGACAGGAAGAAAGGAAGGTAACCTACAAAAGTAACCGTTACGCGATTCTTTAACGTCCGCCCCACTCCGCCGCGCCTCGGCAACCGAGATGGACGTTCTTTGGACGCCGTCGACCTTTCCTTTTCGATCTCGAACGAAGCGCGGTAGATTTCGTAATCGCGACTCCCCCCCGCACCGCTCCGAGCGGACAGGCGTCGTCCTCTCTCCGAACATCTGGCCGCCGATCCCGCGCGGTGCGCCACGGCCGAAGCGATTCGGCACGATCCGTCGAGGACTCTCGGGGTCGGACCGGCTACCTCGCCGCGCGGAACAACGTCCTAATTGCCTCCGGTAATTGATCCGAAACTCTCGAGTTCCATGGCCCTCCCCGGCGGTCGCGTGCGCCCTCGAGGGGAACGCGCTATTTTCCGGAAGCCCGACACGAGTCTAACGGGCGGAGCACCCTCGCGTGGAAAAGAACCGCCGCTTATCCCCCGGTCCTGGCCCCGGGCGATCCGGCCGATCCGGCCGATCGGGAGCATCGTGGCGTCGGGCCGGCCCGTTTCAATTTCAAATTCCTCGCGGACGTACCGTTGCGCGTTGAGGGCCGAGTCGCGCGGACGCGTCGTCGTTCGACTCGTCCGTTCTACGTAAATATTTATTTACTCGCATCTCCGTCTATCGCAGGTCTCGCGGAAACGGTTGCATTCCTCGGTAGTCCGATCGTCGCGGATCGAGGGGTCTAGAGGGGGGAGAGGAGGACGCCGCGAGCGGACAAACATGCGGTCGGACCGGTCGACTCGCGGACGAGTCCGGCCGGATCGAGACCCGAGGAACACGCGGAGGGCCGTCCTTCGTCCCCTCGGCGAGGGAAGAGTCGCGGGGCGTCGATAAGCGGCGCGTTTAAATATTTCATGGCCCCGGAGTGCGGCCCGACGAGTCAATCGGAGAAACGACGCCGACTCCACCCCCGGGGTTTTCGTCCCGTCCGAGGTTCCGCGGCGAATTCGCTCCCTCGACGGAGTTCGGGATTCCGTGGCAAATTGCGCGCACCGCGAGTCGCGCCGGAAAAACCAGAGGCCGTTTAATGACGGCGATAACTCGCTCGCCGCTCGCCCCGCCGTGCCATTTTTCCTCGAGTGGATTTTTTAGGGGCGGATCGATCGGGAGGTCGAGGTAATTTCCAACGATAAAAGGCTCGGTTAATGGCGCCGATACGCGAGAGCGGCCGCGATAACTCGCGCCCCGACGCGCGGCTTCCCGGGGACCGGAAGGACGGCGCGTTATTAGATTCGAGAAAGAGCTCGGGTCCGCCGGAACTCGGCCTCGAAAGGCCGAGTCGAGCCGCCGGGCCGCTGACCCCGCCGCTGTCGCGAGAGAGGGGGCCCTCTCCCGGTTTTTCGAGCGGGTTCCTTCCGTCCCCGAGTCGGCTCGAGGTCCCATTTTTCGGTTTCCCCGTCGAATTCTCGAGACGAGGCAGGCCGCGCGGCGATCGCGCGGGGGAAAACCACGATCGTCGCGAGATTTCTAGAGCGGTCGCGGCCGGATTAGGGCATCGTCCGTTCGCGGCCACCGATTGGCCAACCTCCTCGCGTCCTTTCTCGGCGACCTCCGGAGGACGCGCGACCCGGTTCGCCCGGTTCGCCCGGTCTCCCGAGGCCCGTCGAGGAAGGCCGATCCGAGTCGAGTCGATCGGTGATCGATCGCGCGTCGATATTCTCGAGGGTCGGCCTCGCCGTACCCGGAAGTCGAACGGTACGGTAAACGTACACCCGATAAGGATACGTCAACACGGGAAAACGCGTACGCCTCGGCTCTTCGCTCGGAGAGAGTCGATAAGAGGGCCGGGTCTCCCCGTCTCTCTCGCGTCCGCGAGATACTCGCTCCGTCGGGGCGTTATCGCGCCGCGTTATCGCCGGGCCGCACCCGCACCCGCGCCTCTCTCTTCCGACACCCAACGACGAGAGTCGAGAGGGGCCGGAGGAGCACTCGAAGACTCTCCTCCCCCGTCCGGAACCGCGGCGGACCCGGGGAATTCGCCGACTCGCTCCGTCCGGGATCGACGCGACGGGCTAGCGGAAGTCGTCCTTCCGGTCGGCGGCCGAGTTCCTATCGCCGGGGAGAAGAGTGGAAGAGCGAGAAGACGCCGCGCCGGACGCGGCCGCGCTCCTTAGAGGTCCGGGCGATTCGACGATCTCGGCGAGGGGAAGGAGCGCATAAAACGCGCGGAGGTGCAGCCGGCAGATTTAGGAGAGGGAAAATCGGCTCGTTCCGAGGCGAAGCTGCTTCCGCTTCACGGGAATAGCTTGCGGCGAGGACGCCCCTTGGCCGCGAAGCCCGGATCTGCGAATAAGTGCCCCTCGGCGGTAACTTTCCGTCCCTCCTGCCGGCCCGGGCGAAGCGCGACCTTCCGAACCATTTCTTCGTCGCAGGCCGCGATCCGACCGTTTTCCGCTCCCCGGCCGCGCAAAGAGGCCCGCGGAGAGAGGCGGGAACCCTTTGAAGCGCGTTCCTCCGAGGCCATCGGAGGTGCAAGGGATGCCGCGCGAGTATCGACCGACCCCGTCTCGAGAAAACTGCGAGAAACGACTTCCGGTTCCGCGGCCGTCCCTCTTGCCCCGGAGAGGGGAAGGGGCCGATTCCGGGAGGCCGGGACGGCCGTGGATCGCGAATTCCTCCTTTGCCCCTTTCTCGCTTCCTCCCGCGGAGAGCCACAAGTGGGTGCGACCGTCCGATCTCTCTCGACCCTCGGTTCGGGACCGAGGCCGCCCCTGCCCCCGTTCCGGAATTGATTCCGGGTATTTCGCCCCTCCGAGGGTATTTTACCCTCTCGAGCGCAAAGTTCGTAATAACCCGGCGAGGAGGGACGTCGAGCCGAATCGGTCCGCGGCAGCGTTCGGCGGGAGGGGGGGCGCCTAGTGCCGAGTTTTCCGAGGGCGAATGCCCCGGAATCTTCCGGCCATTCGTGGGTATCGATCCGGGCGGGCTCGCGGTTCTCGTCTCGAGAGATCCCGGAGACGGCGGCTCTCTTCTCGCCGTTTCTTTCCGTTCGGAGCGCGAACCGGCGCGGCGGCGGGAAGTCGCGCTATCGGCGCGTTATCGCACCTCTAGGATCGATAGATAAACGGTATCGCAATTTCGGCCTTTCTCTTGACGCAATGTTTGCTCGCGACAAATACGGCCTGACGTCAGGCGGCTGGTCTCCGAAACCCCGAAGACGACGAACGTTCGGCGCCGACCGGGGGCCCTTCGCGGGTCGCGAGCCCTGCCGACGAATTGGAACGCGTCCAGACATCTCCGCCACTCGGGCCGAGACGTCCCGATTGCTCCGAGTTCCGTCGTCCTTCCCGGCCGGACGCGGCCCCGCGGAACGTGTCGCACCTTCGTCCCGCCGCGCGCAATAATTGCGGGGTCGTCTCGACTTTGTGATTAAACGTCGAAATCACCGAGTACCGCCGCGCGAGGAGACGGGGGAGGGTTCTGCCGCGGTCGGGAATCGATCTCTCGCGGCCCCCGTTTGCCGTCTCCGATTCATAATCCATGGGGGGTTACGAAGTCGAGGTCGCCCCGTTTCCGGGCCGCGTATTCCCGATGCGTCCCGGTCGAGCCAAGTTTCCGCCGATAATCCGACTTAGCCGGGCTTCCCGGCACGGCACGTATAATTATCGGGACTTTGACGGCGTCTCGCGCCGGTGTTCCGCCATCTTGGACCTCGTCCCCGCTCGACGTCCAGGGGTGGAAAATCCTCTTCTCCGCCGAGGAGTGACGGAATCGCAGGCACTTTATTCTCCATTCCATTACCCCCGGATCCGGAGGATAACTCTCATGCATCATAAAAGACCGCCCGAAAGAATTTCCGCGCACGTCGGGTACACGCGCGCGTCGCCCGGGGGGGCCAAGGGGCGGCCAAGGGGCGGTCGTCCCCGAGCGAAAAAGCGGCCGGGAATCGACTCGATCGCGATCGCGATCGCGATCGGCCCTTCCGTTGCCTGTCGCGTCCCGGCGAATCTCCGGGAGGGAGGAACGCTCCTCCCCGACCTCCCGTCGGGGATCCCAGTTCCTCGGTCCGACGAAGCATATTTCACGGGGTCGAGAGCCGGAACCGCGGCTGCAGGCGCGGATCGGCCGCCTGCTTCTGCCCGCTTGCGCCCGCCGCCATCTGCGAACGTAAATATTGCAGCGTCCGCGCTTTCGATGCCGCAAGTAGGAGAGCCCGGGGGAGGACCGAGAGAACGCTTTTCGCGAAAGCACCGTCAGCGAGAATTAATTGAGACACCGATGTGGATCGGGGGCCGTGCGGTTACGAAATTTCGACATCTCGGAAAATCCGACATGCCGAGATTTCTTTTGCGGTACCGGTTCGAGGCTTCGTAAGTTCGACGGTGGTTTTCGGGGAATGTTGGAAGTATCGCCATACTCGGCGATCCTTTTCCCGACGCGTCTGGGTTTTGCCGGAATGGACCCTCTCCACCCACCCCGCACTCCTTAAACTCTCTGCCACTTTCCGCTGCATCTCAACGTTAGAAAAGGGTGGAAAGGACCAACGTTCCGCGAAGGCTCGAGAAGGGAGCTCGAATCGACGGGTCGAAGAGGAGGGTTTCTCGGGTCGGGACAAATCGCGAGAGAGCCTCCTCCCTCTGGCGGCTCATCCGAAATTCAGAAGGATGGGGTCCTCCGGGTCCCACCCACCCTCGACGATTCGCAAATATCGGCCCTCCTTGGCCGCGCTCGAGGGCTCTAATCACGCGCGCGGATCGAGAAGGGATCCTCCTTTCCCCGGGATCGGGCTCCTCCATAAATAGGTTCTACGTGACGTCCTTGCGGGATTTCGAGGAATCAGCATATTTCATCCTACTCTTCTCGAGCCCCCGGCCCTCGGGGGTTGATGGATGCGCGCCTTTCACGGGTGGAGGGTCGATCGCGGGTTTTCGAAATTCTAGGTGGAAAATGGACCGAGCGACGCTTCGAAGGGGTGCAAAATAGTTTTGGAGAAAATCGTAAGCGGATCGACTCTTCCGTCTTTTGCGCCGTAATCGTC